CTTGGCTGCAAATTCATTCCAAATGGCTATCTTCTGACGCCTCTTATTGCCGCACAGTCAACGTAGGTATATTCCTCTTAGAGCAGACTGCGGGAGCATCTCATAATGCATGATTTGACGAGGCTAAAATCTTCAAATTGCCCTCTTCCTGCTAAAAATTTCCCGTCCGTTTAAGTTCTCCCAGCCATTATTGACGGTCTGTGGTAGAACAAGCCAAACGCATAAATGAGAGAGGCTACAGTAATCCACGCCTTGATAATGTCCTCCATATTTGAGTCGAAATGCCGAGGAAACACCTGATATTCCAAGTTATAGCCGTAGGCTTCTAATATACTTGAAAGAGATTCATATGGATGAGATTACCAAATAAGGCTGTAAAAGGCTCTTTGCTTTCTGGATCGGTGAAGGCTGTAGGAATCCAAACACAAGTTGAGAGAAGCAATATACATTTTCTGGTCTGGATTTTTTTCCGAGTGAGGATTATTTATGTTCGGCACATGTTGACACGACCATGTGTCTGAAATACTGTACCGAATATTTACTTGATTTGACTTCCACACCTCAAGGTGGCACATTTGAGCATAACTCTCGTTAGTGGCCGCCTGGCGAAATGGCATCGCGTCTGACTACGATATTGTTATCAGGAGATTGCAGGTTCGACCCCTGCGGTGGTCAAAATTGTTTTGGCAAAGCGAAGCAATCTGTAGACATTCTAGCTCCACAACATGTGAGGCCCCGAATCCGAAAAAAGAGACGCGTTCGTAGATGGGAATATGAAGATAAATGGCATTTCCGCTTGACATGTGAACCTGATCGAGATGTGGTACTCCGTTCTAGCCCCCTTTTTGCTCTCCTGAAAGTTTGAAGTTCCACCCTGAGTTTCTCCTGACAACCTTGGGAAAAGAGGAAGAGAGCTCTCTGAGGAAGGGCGGCAAGAAAGATGGTTATTCACAACAGCAGTGTTGTATGCGTGCGTGGGCTTGGAATGAACGCCGGAATCCTCGTGTTAACGCTGTGCCTTGAGCGTTGGAGCATTGCGATCAGGCATTCACCTTTCAAGGAAACAGGTTATTCAGCTTGTGGACACTTGTTTGAAGGCTCGGCCAAGGACGTGGCGACGTTCGGGCAGAGATTTTTAAAGGGTGCGCGGCTTATCATGCTAGAAGTATGTGCACCGTTGTCAGGGCAGATGCATATTCTGAAAAGTGGATTGCATTCAAAACACTCTCGAGATGGGCGAGTGTTTGATGTGTGGCTGAAGTAGGAGGTGCCTTGGCTGGCATTAGTGCTGAAAATAGAAGGAAAGAAATGACGGTTCCTAAGTAGATGAGGCACGGGAGCAGAGCAATTGAATCGAATTCTTCTCTCCCATCTTGACCCATCCCGCCATCGCTTGTGGCCATGGAAGGGCGGCCTATGACGAGCGGACGGCCTCCCACGAACGCAGGCGGACCGAGCACATCGCAGGGCGGGTTTTCATACGGCTATGACTATGGACCATCGTACACTGGCGTTACGAGCAGTTCACAGTTCACAGAAGAGACAGACGACGAGGACGAAGATGTCTTTGCGTTTCTGCCTCCTGCGACAGCCGATGCCTCAGAAAAGCCCAGTACAGCGGCGTCGACCGACACTCCAACCTATCCCCCGCCGCAGACCCCACCGTCAACCAACTCAACTACCAACAACGCACCCCATCATGCCACTGACCTTCCTATGCGTCGCCTTGAATCACGCGGTCACACTCAGAGCACCCAAGTGAGCAGGCATATCGTCGACCTTCACTCAGCAGGAGCCAGTGAGAAGGACGGCGCACCTAGCAGCATAGTGAAAGGTGCAGAAACAGCGACCCCCACGGAAAGCATCATTCTTGACAATGAATCGCGAGAAGGGTCTATCAAGTTAGTTTTTTCTTTGTACATTATCTATCTTTTCCCTCATTTCGTTCCAGAATGGAATTCGACTTTGACGCTATAGACGAAGAGGATTCACCGTTCCCTGAAGTTCGTGCCAGTGTTAGCAACGTCGACGATCCAGATATGCCTGCTCTCACCGTCCGGATGTGGATAGTCGGCCTCTTCCTTTGTCTGGTTTCCGGCTCTCTGAATGTCTTTTTCAATTTCCGACAACCAGCTCCTGGCATCGTTGCATTTGCCCTTCTGCTGATTGCCCACCCCTTCGGCAAATTCCTTGCCCTAGTCCTCCCCATCACTACTTACCGCCTCCCCTTACCCCACCTTCCCACTTCATGGGCTCCCGTACCATCCGAAACACCGCTAGGGCGAGTTCCCACCTTCTTCCGTTCGGTTCGAACAACCCTTTGTACCCCAGCCTGTCTCGAATTTTCCCTCAATCCCGGCCCGTGGAACATCAAAGAACATGTATTGGTCTTCATGATGGCCAATGTAGCTGTCACCACACCGTACGCTTTGAACGCCATCGTCGTCGCAGAGCGCTACTACGGCGCTAGCGCTTCCTACTGGTTTGCCCTTAATCTCACCATCTCTACCCAGCTCATTGGCTTTGGGATTGCTGGTTTTACTCGCCGCTTTCTCGTGTGGCCGGCGAGCATGGTTTGGCCGCAAAACCTCGTCGCCTGCACCCTCCTCAATACCTTGCATGCTGAAGAGGAAGTCTCTTATGACGACGGAGAGGATGCCCCACGTCCCAAATACTACATGACTCGCTACAAGTTCTTCATGATCGTATTTGGGGGCATTTTCTTTTGGTCGTTCCTCCCTGGCTTTGCCTTTAAGGCTCTCTCGTATTTCAGCTTCATTTGTTGGGCAGCTCCGAACAACCTACCTGTAAACCTCTTCTTCGGTTCGGCCTCGGGATTGGGGATGAGCGTTCTGACCTTTGACTGGGCGCAAATTTCTTGGATTGGTTCTCCTCTCATGGTTCCCTGGTGGGCTCAGGTCCATGTCTTCGTAGGCTTCGTTCTCTTCTTTTGGATTCTGGCCCCAGCTCTGTACTTCTCCGGCGCATGGGCGATGTGGTACTTTCCATTTAGCATCAACCAACCTTTCGATCGTTATGGGAATATTTATAATGTTACCAGAGTTCTCACGGCTGACGCCAAACTGGATCCTGTCAAATACGCAGAATATTCTCCGCTATTTCTTCCCACAACCTATGCCATTACGTACCTACTTGCCTTTGCACTTTCGACATCCGTCATTGTGCATACAATCCTGTACCATGGCAAGGCGCTGTACGCTGGAGTACGGAGGATGAAAGTGGAACAGGATGATATCCATGCGAAGCTGATGCGGAACTACCCTGAAGTTCCCGACTGGTGGTATGGGTGTGTGTTTGTGCTGTTTTTCGCGATTGGTATTGTTGCCATGGAGGTTTGGGACACAACTCTGCCAGTTTGGGGTCTCTTGCTATCAGTTCTGCTTCCGGCAGTCTATGTCCTACCCAGTGGGTTCATCTTCGCTATGACTGGTCAATCGGCAAGTGGTTTCCTTTGTGTTCTTTGCCTAGGTTTTAACCTCTTTGCTCTTAGATCACACTCAACATCATTGCTCAAATTCTCCCTGGGACACTTCTTGCAGGCAACCCGCTCGCCAACATGATTTTCAAGTCGTACTCTGTGCAAATTCTCAACGAGTCAACAGGATTCGTTCAGGATTTGAAGCTTGGTCACTACATCAAAGTACCGCCACGGGCAACATTTGTCGCGCAAGGTGTTGCAACCACATTGGCTGCCTTTGTGCAAGTCGGGGTTAAATATTGGATCTTTGGCGCTGTGGACGACATTTGTACCAATAATCAGTCTAGCCAGCTGACTTGCCCACATAACAAGGTGTTCTTTACTGCGAGTGCGATTTGGTATGTCCCCTGTTTCATCTTAGTTCTCTTGTCTTAATTTCTCGCGAAGGGGTGTGGTTGGACCAGAACGCCAATTCGGACCCGGCAGCATGTACAACCCTGTCCTGTATGCACTTCTTGTCGGGGCAATTCTTCCCATACCTTTCTACCTCTATCAGAGACGATACCCAACAACATGGGTGAAATATGTCTCCATCCCCGTCCTTCTGAACGGATGTGCATACATTCCTCCAGCAACCGGACTCAATTACTCGTCATGGTTCCTCGTGGGCTTCCTCTTCCAATTTTGGATAAGGAAGAAGGCGTTCGCGTGGTGGAGTAAATTCAATTATGTGTTATCGGGGGCTTTAGACACAGGCACTGTGTTTGGATATATTTTCATATTTTTGACGCTGCAGTTCCCAAGGAATGGAGAACTTGAGGAGAAAGTAAATAACTGGTGGGGGAATCAGGTGTTCGTGAATAGTCAGTTTTGTTTGTTTCCTCATAAACAAATACTAACGGCCTATTTGCTGTAGCTGCGGATTATCAGGGAGTGCCATTCAAGGTCATACCAGAAGGAGGGATTCCTTTGAAGAATTGGCCGCCAGCTTCATAGCGCTTCATGATGAACATCAGAATGGACCACATCCTATTAGGCCTTCATTTACATCTCTCCTCATCCTTGTATTATCTCATCTGTCCTTTTTCGCTCTCATTTCTTGCTGGCCGCACTGCATCCTACCTACCTCTCAAACCTTCACACACATTCCCTTCCTGGTCTAGTCTCATTGGTATTCCGAAATGGTTTTACATCTTTTTCCTTCGCCATCATCTCTATTTCTTCCTACCATTATCCTACATTGTTTCAACATCCCTTATTTTGTCGCCCCCTCTCCCTGCACTTGTTCGGTTTGAGAATGTGTGTACCTATATACTTCCCTTATCTTCCTGCCTCTTTTCGTTGATTTAGATTCGCATAGTGAATGAAATGGAAAATAGTGATCAACATCGTGATTGAATTGGCCTATTCAGAATTTCTCTTCATGCAGCTTTCTAGTGATGCGAAACAAGTCTTGCAGTAGAGAACATGCGCCTAGATGCGGAAGGCGACCAGTAGAGTATATTATTTCTAAACAGAAAGGAAGCTGAGTGGATCGAGCAACACTGTACTCGTTGTTCACGGCCGCCTGGCGAAATGGCATCGCGTCTGACTACGATTCATTTGGTTATCAGGGATTGCAGGTTCGACCCCTGCGGTGGTCATTTTTGGAATCTTGGAGCTTCTCAGCGAATCACACCAAGATCGGAAACACCGCTTGTGGTGATTTCGTCAACGAATTTTTTGGTTTCCAACGCATATTGAATCCCCGGTCTTAGCCGCAATAGATCGTCGCACCTTGGTTTGATGAAGACAATGACAAATTACCGTTGCAGGCCTTATGGAATCGCGGCGATCCTCCATGCATATGCAAACTACGGTTAACATCTTGATCTGGTGTAGGTCCTCCGAATGTCAGAAACGTACCGCCTCTTGCAGTTGCCAAGCACGGACCCAATGAGTCAGATATTATTCTGGCCTGCTCTAGCTCCATGCTAAAGTCCTAAATGTGAAACAAAGACTCCATTCTTCTACTCAGCGACCAGTGAACCCGTGTGAAGTCGGACCGAAGGTCGCTGTTCACGGCGTTCAGGTATTTCATTTCCACCGTAAAAAAATCCGTAGAATGGTCAGATTTTATTTGAAAGGACGGAATAAGCGACAAAAAACGAGTGCGTTTCGTACAAGTTCCCACGACATGAGGGATGATCGTGTTTAGCTTTTTAGTCTCAAATCACCAGATACGAGGGTATTGCCGAGATCTGCTATGGTACCAGAAGCGCATCGCTTGACATTCTGATGCATTGATAAGTTCAGGTGGCACCGCCCTTGCTAGGGTTCGCCACATGGGTGAGGCAGGGCCGCGAATTCTTCTTACACTGGTCCAAGGGATGAGTGAGAAGTGTTGGGCATACCATACTGAAGGCGCTCGCCAGGATGAAGGATATGTATGTGAGGACCTACAAGTCTAGTATTGGTAGAACTGTGTTTGCAAGTCGTAAGAGTATTATCATCGTTGCTGCATAAAAAAGGTAGAGATGGTTGATAGAAGCGCCGGTCGCCTCCTTGCTAGTCACTATCATCAGCTCCATTCCATTCACTCTATCTTTCACGATCTTCTTTCATGACTACCGCATCCTGTGCCTTTCTATTATTCATTTTGTTGAAACTATCTAGAGCTGTGTTCGTCAAAGATATGTGAATACAGGAGGCGCCCAGAAGCGCGCCTACTCATCTGAGTCTTTGGAACAGAGTACCCTCCATGTTGGAATAATTGAGCCCTACGTAGGCGAGTTTTGGCCGCACGAGGTGTCTGCTCTCACGGCGCTGAAACTCGCACAGGTTATCCTCCAACCGCATCTTCCAGTGCACCGACACACAGCCCCCACATTGTAGTCGTACCCTCCCTGTGCACTCTTAGCGTCTGTATTTCCCTCTTTACTGTGCTCATTTTCATAGTTTTTTATCGTTTGTATAGTCTTGGAGATCAACAACTGCCTCCTGAATTTTTTGAACAACTGAGGCGGTGAGGCTTTTGGGATTTCTTGACTTGACGTCTTCGCCCCTTGCGGTTCCGACGTACGTATGGCGCTTTATTTTTTTAAATTATCTGGCCGGTATCACCTTTTCAACATTGCCTCTCCTCCTTGCTCAACTCCCTCCTACGCACCAAAACACCCCCCGCCCCCTCCGCTTCATTCTTGCAAGTAGCCCTCGCGGACAGCTCTCAGGTACCTCTCCCACAACTTCAGACTTCGGGGTCTTCGGATTGACGTCTCTCTCTTTGGTGTTCATCCTTGTCGATCCCGACATCCCCAGCAGCCTCGCATTTTCTGTTAGTGCTTTCGCCGATCCCAGTTCAGTCAGACTTTGGTGATTTCGGAGCAAGCCCTTAACTCATTCTTGTGTCAGAAACAAGTTTAGCATCGGTAGCTTCGCATGGCGGGTACTCGTTTCTTTTCGCGAACCTACAAAAAGATGGCGGCCCTGTTGGGATCCGCATTGCTCAACGACGATCTTCAAGTCCCATCCAAGAGAACTTAACTTGATATACCCTCACCGTTGATTTGTTTGTGCTCACCGAATCAGTCTTTCTGGTTCATCCAATTTACGCATTGTTTTATAGGTATACCCCACTGGTCAACAACATGAGCTACAATCACCCTAATTATCGCGCTTCTACATCCACCAATCCGTTTTCCCTTGGTAATGGAAACGATCAATCCATATTCGGTGGCTCTGTACCTCTTCCGAGGGTTGAGAACAATTCCTCCCAACATGCTCCTTCGAACACAATATCTTTTGTCTTTACGTATGAGCGGGACATCATGAATAGCTCTGTTCTAGGACCCAGAGGACAGCAATACTTCGTCGTCGCTACGGATTCCCGTAAACATCTCACGCCAACCACAATTATCCAATCTACTCGTGGAACACATGCGAGGGTTGATTGGCATCAACCTCACCCAACTGCTGAATGGAATGGAGTCCTTGAGAGGCAGAGGGCTGGCTCTTTTCTGAGACTTACCCCAGACCAAAAGTACGCACTAATTCATTCTTCAGATGCATAGAGTTTCTAATGTTGGCTTAGGCAGCGCACTATGGCCTTTGGGCAGAATCAGTTTGTGTGGGCGCCATCGAATTCATCCCTCTCCGTAAGTTTTAGTTCACCTTGCATTTATTTTTCCTAACCTAAATGTTTCTAGCTCTCAAGGGTGGATCGACATGGATCGGAGCTCATTGCTCGCGTGACCGCGTCACTCCATAAATCTACTATTCTCGATATAAGCGCAGAAGCCGTTGCACAGGGTATGCTCGACAGAGTCGTGCTTGCTGTTGTTCTCTTAATGAGCGGCCAACCTCTCGACTAAACATTCTAGATGCATCTGATATTGTCTCCTTCTCATCTCTTCTCAATGAGCTCAAGTTTTTCCGCTGCTGTGCTTTAACAAATTGCTTTTTTTTTCACTCATCGCTCTAGCTATCTTCTTCTTACATATTTCTCGTTTGTCTGGTCACAAGTTCCCCCCTTCCGTTACTGTTATGATATAAGTCCTCTAATGAATGTTTGTTTTACCTTTGAATTCCTTGACATGTTGGCAAATACTGCACTGGTGACCAAGGCATTCAAACCTCACTCAAATGGTAACTGCTAACTATGAGAAGGAGAAGTCGATGGAGCTGTGCCTCGGATAGCGGCAATGATTGTAGGTCAGTACGGAAAACCCTGTGAAATGGGGAGTTCCCATGCACCGACTCACGGAGCAGAAGAGGCACAGCCTGGATTTGGATTATTTTGACTCACCTGAAACTGCTTCTTCCAGTATTTTGTGTAAGCGGTTTCAAAGAGGATAATTGGTCCAATAGTTCGAAGAGCTAGTGCTAATTTCTACGTTGTTGGCCTAGAGAAACTCATCATGCTACCTCATAAACGGAGATCTCAATGCTTCTACCGGGGGAAAGGAAGGAAAGGAAAGAATGTTGGAAAATGTTTGCATATTGAGGAGGTTCGCCCTTTATATAATTGCAGCGTAGAATTAGCATTACAGAAAGACTTTTTCTAGGCTTGTTCCATGTTAAGCCGGCACCCATGGGTCATGTTTAGACAATGGGTAGTAAGGACAGGATTGGCTAGGGGTTCAAGAAGCTGGTTTTAAAGTTGGACACCTCTGAGACGATAATGCACAGAATTTTCTGCTGGTTAGGCCAGGTTGTGCTCGGTTGGCGGGAGCCTGGAAAAGAAATAGGGACTACAGATGATCATCGTTTAGAGCAAGGTTCAACCAGACCACCATCATCCTCCTTCCAACAATGGTTTGTCTGCTTTCTCCTCCTCCTTTGAGGGTTTCCATCTAAACATTTTCTATCTTTTCAGCTTCCATTATCACTACTCAATGCAGCACAGAACAAGCCAATGGTCTGTCCCTGCCCATGACTAGATTCAGATTCAGCCTCTCATTTCTTAACAGTTGGTTGAGCTCAAAAATGGCGAAACCTTCAACGGGCATCTTGTTAACTGTGATAATTTCATGAACATTACTCTGCGTGAAGTATACCAGACCAATCCAGAAGGTGATCGCTTTTGGAAGTTGAAAGAGTGTTATGTGAGGGGAAGCACTGTACGTTGCGTTGCTTCCGCATTTCGAGGAAATTCTTACTAACATGTTGATAATTAAAGATCAAGTATTTAAGAATACCAGATCAACTTTTAGACCAAGTCAAAGATGAACAAAACCGAGCAAGAGATGCAAACAGAGGTGGCCGTGGTGGGCACGTTGGTGGCAGTCGTGGTCGTGGGGCCCCTCCTCGAGGTGGTGTGTCTAAAGCGTTTATCACTATTGCCTTTGCTCAGAAATATTCTTTTATAGGTCGTGGTGGACGCGGTATGCGCGCACGTGGTCGTGGTCGAGGAATGTAAACTTTTCGACTCATGGTGTTCGATACACATTAACGAGGCCCCATTTATCGTGACCCTCCGTTAAACATATACTACTAGTAAGTGTATATCATATATTTGAAGTCTTAGATCATATGTGCCAATCGCCTTCCGCATTCTGAATAACGACGAATTGAAGCTTCCCTTCCTTGTCGAGGACCCATTTTCCCTGTGCCACAAACTCAGCAATACACAGTGCGTAAAATGTCGCTTTATACCTCATAGTGTATGGATTCCACCACAATCACACGAAGCTGAGGGAGAACCGTCATCATGCACCAAGCTTGTTCCAAGTTGAATCGTTCCATGTGTTCCCATGCACTTGCTTGCAATGATGGATCCCTGTAGAAATTAAGATGGAGCTTGCGTAAAGTTCTAGCATTTTTCATGGCTCCAACAAAGGAAAGCTATTGCATAGTTTTTAACAAGATGCTTAGTCAACGGTGGAAGAACTCACGAAGTCTTCCAAACAAATGGCACATTCAAGAGACTCGAGAACGGTAAAATTGGAGCATACACATTCGATCTAACAAGCCAGTGAGTCATTGGTACCTTTGTTGCTCTTGTGGCCCTTACATCATCCAGTGTTAGAAGGGCATTGTCCAAGGCAAGATGTTTTAGCGAATCTCCATGCAACAATATCATCTCCAGAAGAAACATCCGTGGCACTATCGGGTGGGACATGGACATTCGATAGGTGCAAATCTTGAGAGCCTCCAGCCCTGGCCT